GTGTTAAGCGTTAAGCAGTAGCGCAATTGGAAAAAAAAGAAACACCTCTGCAGAGTGAAACAGCTGAAACAAATTACCAACACTTAACAAATGTGCAGGATTTATTTTAAAGTAGATTTAGATTGCTCCTATGCACTAAATGCCAGCTAACAGCAAAGGTACATTTTTCAGTGCCATGATCCAAAAGGTGTTTAGTTGATACTGTCATTACTTTTCTATGGTATCAACTGAAGTATCACAGTAGGGTCATTTGGGAGACTTTCTTCAAAGTTCCAGCTGAGGAACTAACGCTAAGGTTAGTTCCATCTAAAAAATGTAACAGTAACCACATTATATGCACTGTGTATAAAACAAGTATTCTCCTACATTAAATGTTTTATCAAAATGCTCACACTCTAAAAAAGTACATTACAGAGACCCAAGTAAATATAATCATAGAATCACTAAGCCTGAAATGATCTTGAAGATCATCAAGTTCAACCTTTGACCAAAACCATTGTGTCAACTAAATCATAGTACTAATTGCTATATCCAGCTGTTTCTGAATCCAAACACACAGTATCATTGAGTATTAATGACATATTGAACATATAGTAATGACATAAATTTTTAAAAGTTAGTCTAAATTAAGACAAAGTAAAACTATAATGGAAATTATTACAGCACCATTGCAGAAATCCATGTTACAACCCATGCTTTTTAGGAGAATTTGAAAAGAACAAGGGCAGAAATCAGCAGAAGAAACTCTAGGGTGAAGGTGAAGAGACAGTCCAGACAGACTATATATAGCATATTCATTATATTACTTTCATTCTATTTATATTCACTTTTTCCCTCGAAAATACTTGAATATTCTGCAGGTAATCAGTCTACACAATTACACACTGTAACTGCTTTGGTCTAATACCAGTACAGGGTCCTTTAGACATGAAAACCATTGCCTGTGAGTGCACAATTTAATATCACCCTAAGAGACTCTTCAACTTCAACCTATAGGCACATCTGATGCCAAAATCCATTTTCTAGAATGTGACCAAGTGTACTGATGTTTGGCATGCAAGAAACAAAGACTACCTGAATTAACACACTTTCCAACTATAGAGAACACTATCTGAGCTTGAACTCAAGTGTGGGGACCTGTTAAAGATCTGAGTTCCTCAAAACCTTCCCATAGCAGACATTAAAATGACAATACACTCATTACTTATGTGGGCTTTAGCATATTTGACTGGACATGTAGTTTCTCTCCTGCCTTATCATGTATGAAAGGACTTAGGCTTCTCATTCTAATTTGAATAGGAACCTGCACTACTATTAGCATTTACAGGAAGTGTAAAACAACTGTATTATCATCAACACAGTAACTTGATGTTCTGATGACAATTTCATGGGCTTGAAGGAAAGCAAACTACTTGCACAAGACACCATAAGAAGGACTACCAAAGGCAAATGCAGGTACAGAACAACATCTGAAAATGTATCTGTCATGTTCCTAATTTTATCTACTTGTTGATGACCTTGATGCAGATTTCTGTGATTCCTCATAACTGCAAACTCTTACTGTGCTTTCCAATTACTATATCTAAATAGTCTAATTAGACTACCGCAGAATGCTCTTCTTCATCCACAGACATGCGCACTACCGCTATTGATAGTATTACCTATCCAAGAGCTGAGTTCCAGGACATAAATTATCATTTCCTGTTGAATGACAATGCTATTTCCACTCCACTAAAAAGGCCTTCCACTGAACGACTTTTGATCAGTATGATTAACATGGATCCTAAAGGCCACATCAGATAAAGTGAAAGTAAAGCATTATAAAAACAAAGGCCTTAAATTGTAAATTTCAGAAAACTGTGATAAACTGGCCAAGGACTTCAGAGTATCTTCTTGTCTTATTATCCCTAGTATTGATTGAAATCTCTCCACCTTGAAATTGTTGATGAGGACAAATCTATTGAGTCTCATTAAATCCAGCACAGGAATGAAGTCCCCAGAGCATTTGGGACCACTAAAGCAGATGCTACACATTTTAGAAAAATATTCTCTATCCTTGAGAATATGAACTACAGCTGCAATATGAAATAGACATCAATTTATTTCCATAAAAGCTCTAATGTAATGGAGTTATTGTAGAACACAGCATCCTTAAAATTTGTGCTTAAAGAAAAAAGGTATGTAAAGTCAACCCAACTTGATAAAACAGGTTACAGACCTCAATATGTACAGACCTCACTACAGCTAGACTTGAAAATCTGTGGTCCTCAATACATTTATACATCTTTCAAAGCAAGTGAATGACCTCAGATTTATCATAAATACTTTTTCTTTTTTCAGTCTCCTGTTTCATACTACACATCAACATCAGCACAAAACCCTGTTTTTCTCAATGGTACCCTGTTAACAGGAACTTTGAATATGTGAGCCAACCAAACTGCCTGAGCTACAGCACATAGTGCCTATCTGACCACTAACAGAGAGGTCATTGATCTTGCTGTAAGGGACAATATATCATAGGATGTACACGCTGATAGGCTCAATGCCATTTGAAGAAGTAGGAAAATATTCCTTTGTGACTGTATTTATGGAATAGCTGACACATCCTTATCTAGCTGTTGCAGACTGCATATTATTAATGCAGGGAAGACAAACAGAACACAGATTTGTCTGCAATAGTTCGCTCCTCTCTCAGTGAAGCAAAAAAATAGACATTTATATTATTTCTATAGATGCTGAGTTTTCCAAAAGCCTGCCGTGACTTTGGTAGACATATCTTGTGATTTGAAAAATCCACATTACTTGATGCAGTTACAATTGGCTGTTTTATACAGTTCTGATCAGAAATATAGAATAGGACTGTCATAATAAATTAATTCCTTTCCCCTTCCAAAGTTCCCTTAACTCAACTTGCCACAAACATTAGCTCTATTCCACTGTGACTCAGGAACTTCACTTACTCCTTTTTTCACTGTTGTTTTCTCTTTTTTCCAGGTTTGATATTTTTTTCAGGTTTGATATTTTACAAAAAGCAGACTTAGCAGTTCCATAATAGTAATTTTTAGCAGATATGAGTTGGCTTTTGCTATTTTAAGAGAGTTTACTCCCCCATGTTTAAAAATATTGAATTTAACATCTCCAAAACAGCAAATTTTAGAGTCTTTTGTAAACTGGGACTATTTGGCAGTTATCAAAAATTAGGGCTTATCTTCTAAACCACAATAATCTTGTTATAAGGTAAGACAGGCAGGAACTTTAAGTCTAGACTGATTAAGAACTGTGAATCATCTTTCTCAAGAAATCCTAAATATTGAACCAAGCTCAGATTAGAAGTGGCTTGACCCTATAGCTATATTAATATAACCATCAATTTTACACATTACTTAAGCAATTATTTTTCATAGGACAAGTCAAATTCTTTCCTGAAGAACTACTGGCAAAATCTCCCCTGTGCAAGGTAAAGTAAACTTTATAAAAAGTTTTTTCAGGATTTAAAACAGTCTCATGAAAATGAGAACTGAAAATCCAGTTTTATTTTCTTTCATATTGTGTTGTTGTATAACTTGTCTGGAAGAAGATGGTTTTACAGCCACCACAGAAGACATGTCATACTGTCTTCCTTTTTTTTTTTTTTGAGTGACTCAAAGGATTAATTTAACACCTTCAGAAGCACTGACTAGAGAATGGAAAACAAAAAAAGTAGCAACTCCTGACGCCTCTATTCTCCTTTTTTTTTAATTCTAGAATTTACTCTATCTTGCTCTAGACAGATAAATTCCTCCTGCCTTGTACATGTTCTGAACAACTTTGACAGAAGGTCTACTTGTAGATTGACTGAGCTACTACTGCAATGAAGAAATTATTTAATATCATCATTGTATCCTCACTGTATCATCACTGCAGTCAAATAAACTGCAGAGTTTTCTAGGGTGTTTGGGCTTTTTTCCACCCTTTTTTAGATGCAACAGCTCTTTATGCTGGCATTCCACACTATTTCAAATTACCTTGGCAAACAACATCACATGCTACAGTGTCAAGTAGACAAGAATGTGTTGGACAGTACAAGCCATAAATACTAAATAAACACACCTTTGGAAACACAGTACTGATTCTGGGTTTGACTGGTTTGACTCAGGTCTAGATTTACAATTTTATTACAATCTGCACGCTCTAAGTAAGACGACAAAGGGAAGAAAATTTTTTTGGGAAAAAGCACTGGCAATACACAACTTCAGAAGGCAGTTCCAAGATAGTAGAAGGCATGTGAAAGTTCTTTATAGAAATTCTTCCTTGCCTTCTTGCTTCTTAATCCTTCTAAGAAAGAAGCAAACATATATTTTGTATTTCTTAGAGACTGAAATATATATATATAAGTTCATAAACCTGAAAGAAGTTCTGAGTAGTGAGTGTTTGGCAGATCAACAGAGTGAATGTTTTCCCTGACATTCACCAAAAACATAAAACCATTCTGCAAATGTGTGTATTGTTCAAACTTCGTGAACTAGTTAACCATTTCAAAAGGTATTATAGCAACAATTTTTCCAGGTAATTTTTATAGAGCAGTTGTTTGTATCTTAAACCACTAATACTCTTTGTGATTCACACAAATACTTCACTTAGTGAAAAGAACATCTTCCCCTGAACTATGAAATTCAATTTGGAGAGTTTAGTAATTGAAAGCTCCTGTCCTACAGAAGAGGAAGATAAAAACATAATTAACACCAAATCAGATAAAGAAATTTATATGCTTGGCAATTCAATCCTACTTGTCTTCAGATGAAACGAAATCTTAATTTTTTAAGGCTGATCCATTCTATGTATGCAAGAGGCCATATACGCTGGTACGCAATCAGACCAATAAACTCAGATACTCAATTATATTTTGGCAATAATAGAGAATAACAGAGATCTAAAAAGTGCAACACTACAAAGAGCTTTGATTACTCTGTGCATTGATATTGTACAGATGGATATTAAAATGAACCCTATGAGCATAAAGCAGAATAACATACTTTTTGATATGTTGTTGTAGCTGTGTGAGCATATTCATGGTCTTGCAGTACTTTTTGTATATCAGCACTGAGAGCCTCTAGCTGCTTTATCAGCTCAGCCTGCTGTGTTCTATCTTCAGTGTTTTGTCTGTAAAGATTCTGCAGCTCCTCTAACTTCTTCCTGTGCAAAACAAGCAATAAAGAGAAACTAAGAAAAAGAACAATGATCTCTGTTAAAAAATTGTACACAAATAATTTTATTGTAGATAATGAGCATCCTATCTTCATAAGGCAATTTTTCTGTCAATTGCCTTACAAACACTGTAAGTTACATATAAAATATTTACCATACACTTTTGAGAAATACCTAAAAACCAGTTACACTTCAAAATGGGATGCCTTTCTATTTCCCTGTAATGCTTTAACTGCTCTAAAATAAATAAATTTTCACTACTTCATCTTTTTCTAATCAATATTCAGTTAACTCCTTAGCAGTAAGTCTCAAAATCTAAAATACACAGAACACATCAACTGTAAATAAGTTGTTGGGTTTTTTTACTTAGAACAATTGAAAAAGGTAAAACTTTTTCCTGAACTTGCAGAGTATGTGTGAAGCAACCTTTTTTCCTGACATGCATATAATCCCTAGACACATGAATATGTTTGCTGATAAATTACTTTTTGTCTGCAGGTACAGAATACTGCAACAACCATAAACAAAGTAAGCAAAACCTTTGGTGTGTATCATATAACATAGTAAAAGCCTTATAAATGCAATAAGAGGAATGGTGTTGTAATGCAATCATAGGATAGATCTAGTATAATCAGATTTCTTAATAATTTCACTGTACTGCTGATGGATTTTCTAAATTAAGATCAAAGCACAGTAACACTTACTATAAAGAATGATTAAGACTTTGAACATTTTCTGCAACATACATTGGAAGTACCAATGACTCTATTAATCTCTGCTTATGTATTTTCTACTTAATTCTCTTTTAATTCACAAGCACATTTCAAGCTAGTATTACACAGAGATACCAAAATTTATATTTAGCACTCCAACTAATTCTCTTCCTTACTTCCTCAAAGAATTGTCTTTTAACCTCTAACACATATGAAATGTTTCTGTGACTGGAAATATCATTAAAGGAGATATCACTGTGTTTTTCTAATGCTTCTGGAGATATCTAGGTAAAGATTAATGTATAAAAGGTAAGCAGCAATAACAATTTCATTGTCTTCTTCCAGGGAAAACACAATGACAAATAAACAATTTTAAAGGAAATTCACAGAAGTTTTTCCTTAGACCTGTGCCACTGATTAGAATTTGTGACTGAATGATTATTCAATACAGATACACCTGAATAATTACATATGAATTTAAATAAACTGCATGCGCAATACAACAGTCAGTTAGTTTCATTGTTAAAAAGCACCATTTCAGAAAGCCTGTTATGAGAGCAAAAAAGTATAACACTTACTAGGACTTGTAAGTAAGTGTAATGCTTACTAGGACTTAACACTAAGTCCTGCTGTTCTGCATAAATTGTAAAGTAGTTCCGCAAAGTTAATGAAGGTAGAGATACACTAAAGACTCCTGATGCATGAAAGTGCAACTGCACTATGTATTGCATATGTACTAATTTAATTCTGTTCAGAAGAATAGCAGCAGAACTACAGACAAGTGATATACTAGGGGCTTTCTGACAGCTCTACAACAGGCTTCCAAATAAGCTCTTCTTTAATTTCCCTGATTGCATGTATATAATTGAAAATAGCATATCTTTTCTCTGCCATTGAAACACAGATTATATTAATTTTGCACAGGTTCTCCAATCAAATCTTCATTTTGTTGTGGAAGGGAAAAACATGGGATAATGTTGAACCCTCAAGACCAGTCTGCTGTATTGCTACTCTTTAATTTGTATGCAAACATCAATGCAGTTATCTGTGTCTGTCACCCAAGAATGCAGTATTATGTGTTCTCTAACAGTCTGCCCACAAAGTGCATTCAGGTCAATGGGAATCTTTTTTGTTGACTTTATCAGACTTCCAGTTATATCCTTGAGGGAAGGCGGTGAGAGGGGGAAACTAAATCTTGCAGCCAGCCACACAAGAACCACAGCACAGTCAGAACACATTAACACATTTTTTTATGTTAAATTCAAGGCTTTTTAAGTGTAAGAAAATTCAGTCACAGTTCCATTACACTACATTCTAGAAATCAAACTTTATTTATTCATACTTGTACTTCAACTTGCTTTTGTCTTTAGTGAATGAGGCACTATTTTTACATTGCAAATCAATGGGGGAGCCTTCTTTTATTTCACTTTTACAGACCAATATTGAAATTATGCTAACCTTTAGCAGGCACTATTCAGTACCAATGTGCAATACAAACAACTATGCATAAATAAGCACTTTGATAGGAAATTGGCCAAATCAACGAGGGGAGTTTTAAATTAGGAATGGCAGGGATCAAAGATGTTGATGAAATGGCAAGTGAGGGAGCTGTGGCCTGGACTGGCAGGCAAAAGGAGACAGGTAGATACAGACGGAAAAGACCTCGTGATGAGCAGCAGAAAGTTCAGGGAGGGTGTTCACTTTATGCACACAAATAATGGAGTGCTGACAGTATGAGGGAGGTTCATAAGAGTCTTGCTGGTGAGAGGAGAAATGGGTGATAATATCTTCACAAACAACTCATTCTGAAAGAACCAGTGAAGTTCTGGAGAAATGGGTGTGGGGGTCTTCATTAATATCAAGCCACTCAAGTTTGTTGCAGAACCAAGCACATGACGAACTTCAGGGCAAAATGTGCAGGCTTACTAGACTTATGAATATTAACTTCTCCAGCCAGGGTGGGCTTAAAGCTAGTTTTCACAGCCATGCAATGCATGATGGGGGTGAGGGGGATACACCTTACAGGGGGAATGTAGTAGGTGATTCAGGAAGGCTTTATCTTCCTAGAACCTCAGCCAATGGGAAAAGGAGGAGGGGGGCAACATGCAGTCAGGAGTTTAGGATAAAGGAGGCCATATCTTCCAAAAGCCCAAGACTCCTCTGTCTCCTTTGTAGAAACTGGTCTTTTACAGTGTGATTTTCCACACACTGGGAAATTAGCTCAACTGTGTGCCTATCTGAAGCTGCTGTTCAAATGGACACAGCACATCTTCATGGAAGACAACAGGAGGAATAAGAGATCTGTCAGCACCTGATGGACTCACTGGGATCACAGAGACAAGGTGGGACAACTCACATGACTGAAGCACTGCCAGGCATGGATACAGGATCTTTACGAAGGCCTATGTTAAAAAGAAGGTTCTGGGTAACTAGAGCAGTCAACTGTGTCTTAGTCCCTGGGAAGGTGATGGACCATCTAGTGGAAAAGATGATCACTGGGAGTCTTAAGAGGAAATAATATTTACAGATTCACAGAATATTCTGAGTTGGAAAGGGATCACAATGACCATCAAGTATAAGTAAATGGCTTAAGTAAATGCCTTTTACAGGGACTGAACCCACAGCCTTGATGTTATTAGCACCACGCTGTAACCAGCTGGCCTGCAGCTTTCTTTGAGGCAATTCCCTTCTCTGAAGGAATTCTTATTGCATAAGGGGTGAACACCGATGCTCTTCTTTGTGATTGCAGTAACACTATTGACATAGTGTCCTATAAAATTTGATAGACAGACTGATGAGGTATAGACTAGATATGCAGACAGTAAAACTGTCTGCTTAAAAAATGTCCATCATTTGAACTGGTAGAACTACTGGGTTTGAAGAGCTGTAAGCAAAATTAAGCACAAGGCCACGCATTACAGGAACAGCCTAGGGGCAAACATCAGGGCCACCACTTTTCAACATCTTCATTAATGACAATGAGACAGAATGCACCACAGCAACTTTGCCGATGACACAGAAAAAGGGGACTGCACAAAAGATGCTTGGCTGCCATTGAGAGGAACCTTTACAGACCAGACAAAAGGCTGGATACAGGAACATCATGCAGTTCAACAGAGACAAGTGCAAATTACTGCCCCTGGGGTTAAAAATCATGTATAAAAGCACAATCTGGGAACAGACAAGCTTGAATGCACGTTATCAGAAAATGCCCTGGAGACCCTAGTGGACACCTAAGTGGCCATCAGATAGCAATGTGGCCTTGTGCCAAATGCTAATGACATCCTGAGCTTTGAAGAGGATATTACTGCCAACAGGAAAAGGGAGGTGATACCTCCCCTCTAGTCAAAAGTTTTAAAGCCCATCTTGATGCTGTGCCAGTTTCTGGGCTCCTCGGTACAAGAGAAACATAGACATGGCTGGAGAGAGCCAATGAAGGGCCACAAAGATGATTTAAGTATTGCAGCATCTGCTTCATAGAGAGCAGCATAGAATACATAGAGAGGCTAGAAAGATGGGTCTGTTCAGCCTGGAGAAAGGAAAGTTCAGGGACAATTGATATATCAACATCTATAAATATCTGATGGCAACCTAGAAAGAAGATGCAGATGGACTCTTGTAAGTGGTGTTCAGTGACAGGAAAAGAGGCAATAAGCACCAATAAAAAACAGATGAAATTCCAGCTAAACACAGTAAAAATATTTTTATCCATTGAAAGAGGCCAAACACTGGAAGAGCCTATGCAGAGAGGTTGCAGAGTCTCCATTCTGGACATACTCAGACTGGACATGGTACTGGACTATAGAAGGAGTCCTAGTAAAATATATGTATTGTATAAGTGGCCTTGCCCCAGTCCTAGTTGTTCTAAATGGGCTGCAGCTGTGATGTCCTTAATTGGGCGGCAGCTGTGGCTAATGAGGATAACTGGGATAAAAGGGGGTGGCTTGGCTGGTCAGGGAGAATTTTGGAGGGGTCCTGATGAAGAAGCAGGAGCAACACTGCTGTGAAGAGCTGCGTGTGAGAAAACCACCCAGAAGGTATGGAACTCTAGAAATATGATAGCAACAATATGATTACAAGCAGTGGTGACCCCAACGTGATAGAAGATAGGACAGCCGGGAGTTGTGGCAGCCTGAGAGCTGGGAGTCTAGAAATATAACAACAACAAGAGAGGATCGGACAGCCGAGAGCTGTGGCAGCCTGAGAGCTGTGGAGAAAGAGCTGTGGGACAGCCTAGAGCTGTGGAGAAGTATGGCTATTGAATCAAGGAGCTGTGACAGCCAGGAGCTGTGAGAAATATGGCCTTTGAGTCAAGAAGCTGTGGGGAAATACGTGTGTGTTGTACATGGCCTTTGAGTCATGGGGGAATGTATGTATTGTAATATTTGTATTGTACCTCAATATCTGTAAGTAAAAGAAAAGGGGGAAATACAGTAGGAGTCCTAGTAAAATCTATGTATTGTATAAGTGGCCTTGCCCCAGTCCTAGTTGTTCTAAATGGGCTGCAGCTGTGATGTCCTTAATTGGGCAGCAGCTGTGGCTAGTGAAGATAACTGGGATAAAAGGGGGTGGGTTGGCTGGTCAGGCAGAGCCTTGGACGAGCCCTGACAAAGAAGCAGGAGCAACACTGCTGTGAAGAGCTGATTGTAAGAAAACACCGCGAGAAGGTATGGGACTCTAGAAATATCATAACAACAATATGATTACAACACTGGGCAACCTGCTGTAGCTGATACTGCTGCAGCACACAGCAAAGAATAACCTGAAAAATACAAGAGCAGCAAAACAAGACCTGAGTAAAAGTCTCACTACCTCATCATTTACAGCACACAAATTAAGAGCAACTGCATTGGAAGGGGTGGTGGGCAGGGTGGGGGCACACATGGTGGAGGAGTAAAAATAGAAACATTATTGCAGGAAAAAATAGTTGTAAAATCATCAGGGATAGAGTTGGACTAGATAAGAATCAAAGGAATGAAGTCATGGCCCACATTTCTGCTAAAAACACTGGGGCAAGAAATTCAAATTCATTTTAGAATAGATTTTTCTCTATTTGCAAACAGTTTAATATTTCCTGGATACTTATGACAGCAAGACTCAAGCCTCAGTGAATCAATCAAACTTCTCCAGTTTGATATTTAGAGTTCCACCAGAGCTGTGTCAGATCACAAAGTTCTAGGCCCTGGTATTTAGCACAATTTTAAAGCAAAAATCACCAAGCTTGATAACATGAAAATGGAAAGGTTACCATGGACTCTAAAGAGATACAGAAAATCTGTACTAAATTAAAACATCAAAAATATAACAAGAAAACACGTGTCACAGGTAATTCAGAAGTTTGAAATGAAACCCAGTGAGGTGAAGAGTGCTTGGCAAAAATTAGGCCAAAAAAGAAAGGTAATGGCTTCTTCAAGACAGTCACTACACAGGATGTATCCTGTAAATACTGTTTGGTCACTGGTCCTAGAAAATTTATCTCCCACACCTCCAAAGTACACAGACTTTTACTGCCATATGGTAGTATTTTCAAAACCACCTTGTTATTCTGTAGAACCAGAGTTGCACTGGACCATTTCTTCAAAGTTTGATCTCCACTTATTTACTGAAGAAAACAATTCTCTTGATGTCTACAGACACATCTACTGTTAAACTAAAAAAAAAACACTTGCCAACAAGCTGACAGATATGCGCAACACGGGAAGTGGTGAATGCACAAGAAACAGAGCACTAGCCCAGTATGTACACATTCCCTTGGAGACTTGCTTCTGCAATTGAACTTACCACATAATGTAAAAACTTTGGATAGTATTACCAAGGTGTCAGCAGAAGGTGTATTTTTCTGAATCTGCCTAGGCTGTATCTGAAAGAAGACACCAAATGAAGGAAGCCAGTTGACTTTATTTCTTTCTTTCTGCTTCTAGAGCTTGTTTCTAATAATTTCAATTGTGTTCCTGCTCTGTTTTCACGGAATGAGAGGGTGGGGAAGGTAGGAAGGCAGCAAACAGTGAGACAGAGCACTGGGGAGAGCAGAGGCATTTGCAAGTCAAATTGCCTTTTTCAGCTCTGAAGTTTGGAATTGATTATGGGAAACTGAAGATACTAAGGAGAATGGGCTATTTTCCACACTATTTGTCCGAGAATTTTCTGCCAGCATCAAATGACAACCAAGCATTCGATGTGATACTTTCATAAGAATAACTTTTAAATGGATTTTAAAAAACCCCAACAACATTACCATAAACAGGAAAAATTAAATGCTTTAATCATTAAGTCAACACAGTCACAAGACTTTGGCCTATGAAAAATGAGAAGATGGAAAGACTTCATTTTCTCCTCAGATTTTTTCCTTTAACTGGGGATTTGTTACTTTAACTTAAATAAGAGTTTGTCTTCTTTTTACAAAGACTTGCTTAATTTTGATGCCATTTTTAATTGAGAAATAACAGAAAAGCAATTTTCTCTACATACTGACATCTCAGAAGATAAGAAATAAGAAATTTCAGTATTCTATACTATAAAAGTACAAAATATTTGCAACTCTTGGTATGTATTGCTAACTACTGAAACTGTGAATTTTACATAATATAAGCTTAAGCCTTCTTTCTTCATAACAGAAATGTCAACAAGAAATTTGTAGCTGAAGTTCATTGAGAAAGATTAGCAGAAAACGAATTATAATGATACTGATCAAACATATACATACAGACATGTGAAGCGTAACTCACATACTAATGATACCCAAAAATACTATTACTTATTGCAATACCATTAACTATCTAGTAAGGAAAACGTTAGAGCACACAAAATCCCCCCCATATGACTGATTTACCAAATAGTTCCCCATAAATCTAGAGGATTTGTTATATGGAAAACATAGGAGAAGACTTCACTTTAAAATAAGTGTAGTCTTCATCTCTTTATTACCTCATATTCAGATCTTATGTTCAAAAATGTCTTTATTTTACTTCCACATTTTAATGAGGTGCTTGCGCCAAATTCTAAGGGGCTGTTTTCCAAAGAATATCAAAGAATTCTTTTTGAGAAATTTGAAGTTAAAAGATTAGGCCAACTCAGATTGCAACATCTGAAGCTGAAACCAGCCAGCAGTAACTTTGCAAAGTTGACTACCAGACTCTAAAATGCCTTCTTTGCTGTCCCCAGTCCTCACACATATGTGTTTTTCTGAGAATAATTTCAGGAAATAAATTCTATTAGTCCATTGTTGAATTTCACAAATTCTATTGACTGCCTCTTTCAATACAATCTCCCAATAAGCTTATGCATGTTTATTGACTTTTTAAAACCCAAGTGGTATAATTTCTTCTAAACATGAAAATAATTTTTCTTGTATAGACATCATCTTTCTTGCAGAGATTTCAACATGAAAAGATTTCAAGATGACAATTTAGTTCAGATGCATCAAAAATAATATTTCTTGGTTTTTGGTTAAAAAAAAAAAAAAGACTTAGATATTGACTCCCTACAGAAAGATTTTTTGTGCTTGGAAAGTAAAGAGGAGTATCCATACCAATGATTTCTACTTCCCAACTGCAGCTCTTCAGGCAAAACCACCATTTAAAGGAATATTGAAGGGAATATTACTAATCTAACATAGGAATGAAACAACGCGTATGCCTCTGAAGTTAAGAAGTAAAACATGGACAATTTTCTGACAATTGACTTAGAATTAACAATTATCTTCTGACATTACTGTATTCCCCAGAATTAAGGTAATCTTTACAATTCATGTAATTCATTCTGTCCTTTAGTTCTTTTCCAAAACACAAATAATGCAGCACTAATCTTACAGATTCAGTGTAAAGAAACAGTGTGTGAGACCTAAGATAAAGCTTAAATCACTGCACTTTAAACCTTTAGAACAGGCCCACGTAGAATTTTGCTGACTTGTCAGATTTTAATCTAATTAAGAAGTTACACTTAGGCTTAAAGCTTTTTCAAGTTTAGGGTGCTTAGCCTCTCTAATTAATATTCATGTCCCTAATCATATTGTTACTTTATTACTTTCAGTCAAGATTGGTAGTTCTCTGACACAATGCAAATTACAGTAGTATAATTTCTCAAGTCAGTCACTACTCAAAACCAGCTATGATATACAAGAGTCAAAATGTAGCAGGAAGAGTCTACATAAACTGGCAGACTTCCAGAAGCCTTACACCTTGTGAACAGAATGGTAAAACACACTGTTGCACAAAAGTATCTTCAATGCATGATACCACTTTTTAACGGGAATAATAGCCTTTTTGAGAGGATTCAGACTTAAAGTTTTTATGAAATACTTACTTAGCTCCAAACCACATCACAATCCTTTTGGAAAAGTTCTTCCTGTTTCATATCTACCTGAGATGACAAGTTACTGCATATACTGCGCAAACTTTATTTGTTCTCTTGTCTCTGCTAAATCGGTTTCCAAATTCTGCAAAGACAAAAAATGAAATGCGTTAAGAAGAAATAATTAAAATCTGCTATGCAAGTTATCTATGTATATAGATATATGGATGTGCCCATACATACATGCATGTATTTATTGTAATCTAAGCAAATACATATAGGTAGGCATATATGCATGTATGAAAAATGTGAAATACCAGGAAAAAAGGTGTATTTCAAATTTTAGGTGGCCACCTTTTCTTTACTCTAAGAAGTTTTCCTTGACTCAGTTGCTGGATGTGGAAGGAGGAACCTGAATCAACTCTTTGCAACCTTCCCAATTTAACTACTAAACTGATTAAGCCTTGTTTTCTACATAGAAGTTCCTAAGAAAAGCAGCTATGCATTCATTGCTTTAACCTCTCACAAGAATTCACAATATCAGTATATGAACTAAGAATCATAGATACAGAATAATTTTTGAGACTGGTCGTTAAATCTGCTCTTATTTTGTACTGCTAATTCAGAGCAAGGAATAGCTTCTTCAGGAGAAGAAACAGCATGCCAGAAAATTTCTGAAAGTGCTCACTGAAAACATTGCAAATGAGCAAGGCTCTGCCTTTTACCATGAGCCCTACTGTAGAAGTTAGTCAGAAAACTGCAAAGGTGTATCTAGGAAACACAATAGCAAGGCAGCTTACTCAAACAAGACTTCAACGTCTACATAAACCTTGCTGGAGTTCCCTAAGAAAAGCACATCAGTCCTTACCAAGCTTTGTATGACTACTCTCCCCAGAGTGTTTTGAGGCAAGAATGGAAATATAAATATTACAGCAATATCAAGAACAGAATTTCAGATGGTGGCAACAGCCTTAGACCTTCTTTGGTATTATGCTACTCACAGATGCAATCACTATGCTCAGTAAGGCAAATATTCCATGATTCATTAATAATTTAAAATAAAAGCCTCCTCTTAGAATATCATCCCTAATCTACTGCCAAGAGTATATTAGTTTTCCATTTACATACAGACTTAAAGAAATAAGAAAATGCATATATTTCCCTTTCAGCAATGACACCTCAAATATTGAGGTTATCAAAATATTTCTATAACTAAAAAGTGAATAATTAAATTTTAAATAAATTAAATTCCTTAAAATTGCATAAAAATGTCCTATAGGTATTTAGATGTATCAGAAGTTTACTACCAACAAATTCATTGAAATCCTTGAAATTGTATTAAAACTATAATGTCCTGTTAATAACATTAACATTGATGTGAGGAAATAGCAAAATTCGCATGTGAATGAAGTAGGAAATTAATTTGTTTCTCGACAAATATCAGGCTACACACCTGGTGTACCCAACAAATGAGTCACCTTTCAGTGCCAAAGGCTAGGTAGAGAAACTTAATTTTTCCTTGAATAATGAAAAAAATCAAAATTATAGGAGACAGTTCACTATCAACACATAAAATTTTTTAAGTGTAATAAGGTATTTATAACTTGCAGACAAGTAACTGTAGGGCTCCTCCTCAGTATTTTTTTCCTCTGTAGGTAAAGGTATTTAATATGTGAACAAAAATTTTAATAGTTCATATATTCTCTGATAAATTCTATTTGCCTATTTCTAATACCACATTATAAAGTTGCAGGTTTTCCATGGAAGAGATGAAAAAAATCTAACATTACCAATGCTTTAAGTTCCCATCATCCATTGCAGAATACAATACAAAGAATATGTAATACATTATTTTCTCATAAATAAAACTTCAGAAGTTATCTAATGGTGAATTTCAAAATCAGGAAAAAAGTATCTTTCAGTACTTCATTTGTGACATATTTAACTTCAGCTTCTGGTTTCAAGTAAGAAATTAATCAGCTCAATCTTTTTGAACATATTTTGAAAGCTCGAGTTTTTTGGAAGCATTACTGAAAGAGTAAGACACAAAAAAAGGGAAAGAAAAAAACTTGTTATACAAATACCTTAGCTACTGAAATATATATATTGATGTCCCAAAGTTCAGCTGAATACTGAAATCTAAAATAGAATCATCAAATGGTTTGGGTTAGGAAGGATCTGAAAGGTCATCTACTTCCAACTTCCCTGCCATGGGCAAGGAGCTCTCCCTTCTAGATCAGATTGCTCAAGGCCTTATCCAAACTGCACTTGAACACTGCCAGGATCTGCCCACTTCCTGGGCAACCAGTTCCAATGTCTCCTCATCCCCATAGTAAAGAACTTCTTCCTAATCTCTAACCTAAATTTCCCCTCTTTCAACGTGTAACCACTCCTCCTTGTCCTATCACCAGAGTTCCTGACAAAGAGTCCCACTCTGGCTCCCCTGTAGGCCCTGGTCAGATCCTGGAAGGTTGCTATGAGGCCTCCGCACAACTTGCTCTTCCTCAGGCTGGACAGCCACAACTTGCTCAATCTGTCTTTGTAGGGAAGGTGGTCCCGAGTCCCCTCAGGGCCCTCCTCCAGACTTGGTCCAGGAATACCACGTCCTTCTCATGCTGGGCACACCAGAAAGATACAGGGCACTCCTGGTGGGGTCTCACAAGGGCACAGTGGAGGGGGCAAATCACCTCCTTTAACCTGCTGACACATCTCTTTCAATGTAGCCCATTAAACGATTTCTGGGCTGCAAGTGCACATTGCAGGCTCATGATTAGTTTTTCATCAATATCGTATTTTTGACCATGAAAAAACTTATAATATTTTACACTCAATTTCTGAGTATCTGCATTTTTAAGATCATATGGAATTTATCACATTCCCTTCTTGCTGATACAATAGCCAAAAATATTCATTGCGTAAACATGCTATGTAAATTTGTGAAAATTTACCTAACACAAATACTCCAATCTGGATTTTTAAATTATAGTTTATTTCAAAGGAGCATTTAAGATTCAAGCTTTTAAAGTCTATTTAAAAAAAGCTACTTGAAACAGTCAAAACATCGAATAATTCAGTTATACAAGAGAGAAAATGCATATTTATAAAATATGTAGTGCAAGACAGCAAGAAAAGGTGAATTTAAAATAACTTTAAACATGAAAAGTGTAAGAAAACCAAGGCATGAGGAAGTACAGTCATGCCCGTTATGGAGTCACTATGAATTAACAGCACAGTTTTGTTATTTGTAGCTTCAAACCCTTTGAAAGTCACTTTCAAAGACAGTAGCTTTGTTTTCATGTTTTTTCCTGTTATATATTATGACAGAAGTGAGAGTAATTTTTCAAGGTCCCATCTCAATAAAACTCTCATTTTTCATTGGAACTAAAATCTCAGGCTCTTCTCGAGAGAGATGGCCTCTTCTTTGAAAATTACAACCTTCAGACTTCAGAAACTTCAAAAGTACTATGCTAACTAGGAATTAACAAAAACAACCAACCAACCCACCAGTAAGCAATCCCATTATCTTTTACTTCACCTCCACTTAAAATCTGCCAGTCTGACATTTTTTTATCTACATACAAATCCTTTTGTGACTTGAGTTTGGAGGAAAATATATTTATCTTGATACTAAACAATAGTTTAGTATCAAGAACAATCAAATAACTCAAATAACTAACTGATTCTTAGATAGGGAGACACCTAGCTAGTTGATGACTTTTTCATTTGTTCCCTTTCAGGACATATAGAAAACTGATATATAAACTCTGGGAATCACAAAAGAAGCACAAAGTTCTCAAGAACTACTTTAGGCAGATGTACAGTTAACTTTCTGTACACTGTATATTATTTATATGAAGGTACATGCAGAAAAGAAAACCAATAAAACGCTATTGTCAGCCTTTTAGCCACCTTATCAGGTATCCTCCTGTTAACCTGTCTCATACTGATTTCAGCTAGTATGACAAAACTTCACAGAAATGTTCTTTAAAAGGACAAACTATTCATAGCAGCTGTTCCTTTCTCTCAGTTTCATGAAGTTGAATTTTATACCTGGTTATTGTAGGTTACAGTAACAACCAGTCTTCAAAAGTGAGAAGTGGCACTTTTCTTCAATGGAAATGGTTTAAAGACAGAAGGATGAAGAAAAAAAAAAAAGCTAACAGTTCAGCCTTTTCATAGGCAACTACTTTTCCTAAGAAGCAATCTGTGATTTAGATCTCGCATTTCTACCATCTAATGCACACTTTAAAGGTAATGTTGGGCTAGCTTATTTTGAGAAGGATTCCTTTTATTCTCTCAGACAGAGGAGACTAACATGGTAACATCTGTATACAACGCATCTTTAAGATTGTTAATGCCATGTCTATTACTTAAAAACATGTACAAAAACATGTTGACTCAACTCCCAAATTAAAGTGTGAGAGGCAGCCAACACTCTCAGCACCTGTGAATGCAGTTAATTTCAGGTAGTCCCAATGGACGCGCACCAGTCAAGTTCTTTCAGGTATCTTCCAACACATCCACTCTCAGTACTTCCCACTGAAGTCTGTCTCTAGGCACAAACTTTTGGGGACACCTTGGAGAAGACTGACGCAAAGACAATATTAAGTATCTCTGCTGAATCTATTAATTGTAATTAATTCATCATTCCATTTCAGCAGCAGGTCCCCATTTTCCTTGTTCAGTTTTTCACCAATAAAGCAATTCCAAGAAATTCTGATTGTATCAGTCATAACTTGCAACTTTCAACTGCACGTAGGTTACCACTACCCTTCAGTGTCCAGACAGTGTTTCTGAACTCTCCCTCTACAGCTTTCAGTTTCCACATCCTGAATACTGGTTTCCATCTGCAGCCTACACCAGAATCTAGTGGTGAGATCTGTTTAGCCAAGTTGATCTCCTGAGATATTTTTCCAAAGTGGACCATACGTGGGTTTGTAGAAAGCTGTCTTTAAAGACATCATAGCTTTTCCTGAGCTATTTACCCTTCGAAAGTGCTTCTCACAGGATTCCACCTACAAGTTCCCTAACCATCTGAAGACTCTGCTTCTTAATTCCAGGGCTGTACAGCGCTATTTTCCTTCCATCACTGTCTCAAGGTCTTGGCCTTGGCAAGTTCATGGTCATTACAGCCAAGACTGCAAATTAGTATTATCTTCACAAGTTCTTCCTAGTTTGCAAACAGCAAATCCAACTCTGTGACATCCCTAGCTGTCGCAGGCAACACCTATCCCTAGAAGTACTCTCTTTCACACTCTAGACACCAATTTAACCAGCTTGTAACACCCCTTTGAACTACCAACACTACTAATGCCCATCCCTGCAATCGCCCAGCTCTTTCATTCACCAGCATGCCTCATCAGCCAGGAAGACAGAGACAGAGGAGATATTCTGACTCTGTTCATTGAAGGTACAAGTAACAGATTTTCAACAATTTGTCCAATATTACAAGCACTACATTTGGCAACTTAAAAATTATTTTATCAGCTTGGCACTCACAAGATTGTTCTCTCCCAAGGATCAACAAATAATTTCTTGTCCTAGGAACTCTATAATCATTTCATCATAACCAGTCTGAAGAAGTCAATATGCAAGAACTTTACTTCCCATGTTAAGAGATCTGAATTAAGCTCTTTCAAAAGAGTTTCCATCACCACAACAATCCAAAAATTGCTAGTGTGGGAAAAAAAAAAAGGGCATTTCTGGGTGAGGTGTTAATTAAATAGTTATTGCAATGAATGTACTTCAATAATGTAAGTGCACATTCTAAGTGTACATTCGTCATGCAAACAAAAAGAATCCACTACCTAGTGGATTCTTGTGTATACTAGCATATAGATGTGTATACTAGCAGTTGTTGAATTAAGATTTGCCATGTTTATGGCTCATTTCTTGGAGGAATTTAGAAAACACAAGCCAATTTTGTTGGCTTGTTTTCCTGAAAGAAGAAAAAGTATAGTTTAAATAAAAGAGAAAAGATCTGCACTATGTATTCAGTTATTTTCTTTTCTGCTTTATCTTAAACTATGAAAATAACTTTTTAATATGGTATAAGCAATAATAATACCCCTCATAGAATAGAGACCTTTGGAGGCTAGGGCACAATTTATTTGGAACTACATGTTCTTTCATACCAACAAAGATTAAGTCTACTGCAACAAGATTATATGTAAGTAAATTACAAATCAAGAAAAAAATTGTGGTAATATTTTTAAGCTTTTATTTTTTCACACACACACACATATATATATATACATATATATATAAATAATCTCAAAGTACAGCATCTTTTATTTTTTAATGATTACATTTTAAGATGACTATTTGAAGTCAGATTCCTGCTTTGCAGCATCAATTTTTAAAAAGCTGTGGGTCTTAAGTGATAGAATGTAAATGAATGCAAGTCCCCACTGGTAGATTTGAATATATAACTTGCTATTTAAAGGAAATAACTTGTAGTGAAATGTTTGGAGAAGTTAATTCTCAAATAATATCCAGGAGTCCATTCCACTTTGTACCTTTATTCTGATATCATTGCCAGATTTTTCTTTTTTCCATTGTGCCTCCTGCTTCCTCAGTTTCTCCAGGTTACTTAGCAGGTTGGCACAGCATATATTTAATCCCTTATTTTCCTCCTCCAGGTTTTTTATAATCAGTCTGTTTTGCTCTTCCTTCTTCTGTGCACGCTCCTCAGTGTCCTGTAGAACAGTACCACAAGGGCCGATAAACAAAAAAGTGAGAACTAATCAGCAAATATAAACTGTGCAGTTTTACCCTCACAGCAGCTTCTATATTTGATGGCCAAGGTCACCTGTGCACTTTTATTGGCCTCTTTCATGCAGGTGGAAGGGTCATATTTTTTAGCTGGATGACAGCTTTGATGAGTACACATTTGCAAAGAGCCCATTAATTGATCAAGCTGCCTTTGATGCTGTCCCCAGCTATTTTTGAGACCCACACAGACATATCCTCCCAGACCTCAGCTTTATCAATTAATAATGCCAGTCCCATCAGAATCTAATTACAAGAAGCCACATCTTCACACTTCTACTTTCTTTGCTCCATTTCCATCATTAACTATTTATCTGAAAGTTATAAAGCTTGGATTCTTGGCTTTAAAGCATCTTTCTCAGTTAGTATGTGAGAAAACAGTAAGGTATAGCAAGGCCTAAGGCAATTTTTTCTCCAAGCTTGTCACTTTCTGTGCCACAAAGGCTGACACTGCTTAAAGAACTACTTCAAAGCTACAGTCTTATAAAACTATGTACAAGTCAATATACCTTAAGTTCTTGGCTTTTATCTTTAAATTTCCAGTTCAAGTTACTGAATTCATTCTTCAAACGGGCATTTTCCTCATCCACAGCACTTTTTCTCTGCATTAAGCTGTTTATCTCCTGCTGCTGTCCTGTGAGCCTCTATTAAAAAAAAAAAAAAAAAACAAAAACCAAAACCTGTTCATAGACAAAAAGCAAGAAAAAGCAAGTGCAAAAGAGCATGCATGTTCTGTGTTTTAGGCCTACAAAATGTAACGAAATGACATATGCAGTTTCTACAGCATTATTTTAATTCCACTAGCACTTTAATCAAAGTCAAAACTGAATTACTATAAGACACAGTAATGCAAATGAGGAACCAAATACCCTGCTGCTACTGAAGAAGCCTATAAATGCAGAACTGAACAGAAATTACTCAGAGAAGCTTATTCAAAAATAGTCATTTACAGAAGTTGTACCTGTGTTAATGGATTAAGAATGCATTAGAATACTGTTTAACTTGCACTTATAGCACACCAAAAAACAAGCCAGAGCTGAATTCAAAATTCTGCAGAATCTCCAGAATTTGCCATAGTAAACAGAAATTACTATTGAGTGAGGCTACCAAAATGATTATTCTACAAAATACTTTTAAAGAGAATTAAGTCTGGCTGAATTTGCAGCTCAAGAAAAATAATACAACATTGCTCACCACATACATTCATTCGCATACAGAAAAATCTCACTGCCATAAAACAAGAACTTCAAGTTTCTGCAATAATTTCATTTGATTCTCATGACACTTGCATTAAACACTCTCACTCTTCAATGCCTATTAGAACTCTGTGTTTTTCTCCAGGAGTCTGCTTTAATTCCACATTCTGTTTTGTCCCATCTCTTTCTAAATCAAAAGGGCTTTAATCTATAATATTTTCCTAGCAGTGACACCATAACTGTGGTAAGAAACTGATAAAACTTTCATGTCGGAACTGAAGTGTAAGTGCTTTGCTTTTAATTCACTAGCTAAAATGAAGTGTGTACAGAAACATAAAAAATCATCAACAAGACAATAATCCTCTAGATTATTCTACACTACATCTGATGATATATGTGAGAGTTTTCAATGTCTAAAGCTTACATCTGGTTCATAAGGACGTCAGACACAAAAAAAGAATGAAGATATGCTGAGCAAAAACATGCTAAACAGTACATCTGAAGTTGCATTTTACTATTCAAAAGACAAAACATTTGTTCTTTGGATATATTATTACACTTACAGTAATAAACTGGTGCTGGCAGAAATGATTTAGCTGAATCTTTAAAAAGGTATGTACCCACATTACTAAAGAAAGCATCAGTAATTTTGTTTGTTACTCTCCCACTCCCCATGTCCTCATGGAATTGGAGGAAGCAGCTCCTTCGAGTCTTCCTTCTAGCTCATTACTACTTATTTAACATTTATCAAAACAAACGTCTGTACTTGGAGACACCCTTAAAACATCATTAAAAATCTCACCTATCTGAAAGAGACTCTTGGCTCTGAGCTAAAAATTCACACACACACACTTTTTATAAAAGCTCCAGCTCTTTAACACATCTAATTTCTGAGTACACAGGTACATCATACTAATACTTAGTTTCATTATGCACTGAGCAGAAACTGAGAAGCATATATGTATTTGTGAAGTGAAATCAGAGATATTTGGGTTCTGTCTTCAATGGGATGTTTTCCAGCAATTTGGAGAATGAATGGAGACAGGATGGTACAAAAGTGCAACTAGCTATTTCAAATGTTTGTTCTGTACTGCTCAGATTAAGTTTCCAACTGAAATAAAGTACTTACTGTGAATATTCAGAATAGTCAGACAGATTATCCTGAATCAGACTTGCACACTAATTACTTATCTCCACAACTGAACAGTAATTTAACACTTGAAACCAATCAAAAAGCAAATATACCACATGAATCATTAAGCAAACTCACCTGAGTAGTCTACAAAGTCATCTACTGCAGCACTAGTGAAATATTATCTAGATGAGTTACACTTGCATGGAAAAAAAATCCTGTTATGTGTCAAAGCATTTTTCTGGGTTACCACTTTGCATGCTCTTATCTTTTCCTCTAAATGAATTGAACATTTACTCTCCTATCCTCTTATTTCACAGGCTTATAAAGAAGGAGGAAAAAAAGAAATATCACTCAGGAGCCATGACTGAGTAGAAATAAGGATCACATAAAGGAATTTTTGAGATATAGACAATTAAGTTAATTATCATCTGTCCTTTCCTATGCAGCTCTTTTCGTACTTTGCTTCCTCAATCTATGTATTACTTCATCTAACACGAGAGTAAAGATTGATTTCTTATTGCATAGAACACAGTGTTCCTAAAAGATTACACTATTCTAGTCGGCAAGTAAAACAGCAGAGGAAAAAAACACACCTGATCAACACACAGGACAACCTCCTACTTGAGGTTATTTTGACAGATTTCACTAGGTAAAAAACCCATCAGGAATTACTCTATTCCCATAGTTTCTACTGATTTTTGTCTAGATACTATAAAGACAGTCTGACACTACACAAGAACAATCTCAACTTACACTTTGAGTTGACTCAGTCATACTTGTTTGAATACAACAGGGCAAAAGCAATGTTTGACAGCTTGGTGGGCAAGAACCATAAAAAACATCATGTAACTAAGGCATCTAAAGCAGACTTCAACAAACTTTCAAGAAAGAAAACTATTCTACAGCGAATTTGCTCCAATAAAAACCAAAAGAAACTGCTTTTACCCTTCTTTGATTCTGGGAAGAACCAAAGAGTATCCCCTGTATACTGCTGGATCCCAGAGTGCTCCAGGCAACAGTACATAGAAAGAAACACTGTGACCTGGTGGAGCAGACCTTTTGATGTCTCAGAGGACTGTCATTCCCAAATTAATTTTCATCCTTTCCCATGGCATCTCTTTATTTACAGCACAATAAAAATTTTTTGTTCCATAATACGTTGTTTACTGTCAAATACTATTTCTTTTTTAAGTATCTTCATAGCAGCCTGAAGAGAAAGCAAAATCACATACCAAGTCAAACTGAAAAAATCTGCAATGAAAACAACAGATCAAAAGCAAAAGGTGACAATAGCTCTTTCTTGTCTTAGCACTGAATACACCAATTTTTTCATGGCAGAAGGATGTTAAAATTATCTGTCCATACTTTGTGTGAATAGGCACAAATAAAAGATTTTAAATTAAAACCTTGTTTTTACCCATTGTGAGTTTACACAATACAGTAATGTATGGAGACAGTGAAAGTGGTAACAAAAGCAACTCCTCAATCCTAGGAGTCTGATTCCCAAAAAAAAAAGTGAGTTAGGATACAACTATGAGAACTTACATACTATTTGATATTATAAATACCATCACTGAAATTCCAGTCTTTAGTGAAATATTTTTTAGTCTGATAAATAAAAAGCAAGTAAAGAGAACTATGTAACAAAAGCTGTACATATGATTATTGCCTTAAGTGCTTTCGAAATTTTCGTATTTTGAGAGGTGAGATTAAAAAAAAGTTGTAAAACCCAACCTCTAATTCTGCATTTTGAAATCAATCAGACTGTACTACTAAATCAGTATTGCATAGTAGCCTCTATGCAGGCTTGTGAAATGTAAGTAAGAGTGGGTTTTTTTTCACGTGAAGAAGTTAACTCATACTGGAGTAAAAACAACCTAGGAAAATCACAAAAATGACATACCCTTCAATGTTGCTGCTAATACAGGAATGCAACAACACAGTGGGTGCTGAAGCACGTCACGGAAAAAGTCAAATCTATGCACCACAATATTAAAGGAGTCCATCTAGGAATGCAACAAAGGGGCATTTGATTTCTACTATCAAAAAGGATCATGGTAACAAATAAATACTAAATTCTGTGCTTTCTTCATTGCACTCTAACAGAAGTTTTCACTGCAGAGTAGTCCACTTCCAATACAACACAAGGAGAAAAAAGTTAAAATTAATAAAAATGGATGAAAAATTGAAGTACTGAAAGTACTCACATTATTTGAAGAAATCCTGATATTTTATGCAGAAACTAAATTAATTTAGTAATTAAATTATTTTATTAAAAATTAAATGCGGAAATATAATTTCTTTAAAGTTGTTCTTATCAGAATTGCTACTTCAACATTTCGTGACTTGTCTTCTCCCTTTCATAATTCCTTTTCCCTCACCAGGAAGTTGAGGTTGACTTACCACACTTTCAATGCCTCCTCTTTTTCCAACTCCTATTTTCATTTCTAGCAAGAATTTAACAATAAGTTTTCACCACTAAAAATGCTCCAGTAACATTTTATACCTTCCCTTAATAAAGCTTTCTTAAATTTTTCTCTGTATTTTTTCAATTTTATTAATCCTCATGGTTCTTGAACATCTATATGCATGTTTAACAAAAAGCATTGCTAGTCATATTCTCATACAGTCCTCCAAAATATAGAAAAAAAAAAAGGAAAAAAAACCTAACAAAATAAATTCACTTTCTTTCATCTCATGACTTCTAGATTATACAGATCTAGATCTAATCTAGATTAGAGTCTTAAATTATTTTCAGACACAGGACAAACAGAAGTTTAAGGCAAATAGTTCACAAAAAGGCAACCATATGCCATGAGAGTCACCAGCTGCATTCTGCAGTCTGTACACTGTCCTTTTGGAGTCTGAATGACAACAGCTAGTTATGACATAAAATGAGTTATTTTTAAATCCATACCTCTCTGAACATAAAACACCAACAGTGCTACCTGATTCTACTGTAGATAGATTCCAGAGCATACCCATATTCACAGCTAAATATTCAACTTAGAACTTGACTCTTAACACGGATGAAAAAAAACAATGAAAAATAGCAAGTGACATATCATGCATTTAAATGTAACACAATGTAATACAATGTAACACATCTCTTTCGAGTGCATATTCCATTTGTAATTCTTATTACTTTTCATTCCTAACCTTCTGCCAAAACAATCTTAAACTAAAAATGCACCCACTAACAGAGTAATTGAAGTGGGGGAGCTCAGTTGATTTTCATACCACCAAAGACTTTTCCCTTGTCCAATCCCATGCTATCCAGGATTCCCTGAGATAAACCAATTTGAAAAAATGG